CCAATGAGTTCCCAAACAATCTTAACTTATAATTAGGATTGTCTTCAAATGCCATGCAATGGTTGGAGAACTTGAAAATGTAGTCTTTATACACTGCCATCCTCCCCACTAAAAGTGGGAAACGTGGGCATCTTAAAGTTGAGTGGAAAAGGGTTATGCTCATCAATATACTCCGGGTATGGCTTCTAGTAAGTGATTCTGAACAACGGGCGAGCCTTAGGTTGGGCATTCTGGGCCACCATCCTCCTCAACTCGGCTAGCTTGTCTCTAAGCTGTTGGTTAGTTGTATTGTTGTATGAAGTATATGGAGGTTTCCACTTCGTGCCGCAATCATTGCCCAAGAAAATCTCCTTCCTTGGTTCGGGTTTCCTCTATTTGGTGTCTTCTCCTTTACTGGCCAATGGTGAAGGCATGTAAAGAATAGGCTTGTCTGCCTTGGTACGTTCGCCTTTTCCGCTAGGCTCTCTAATTGACTGGGGCATCCCATACTTCATTCTTTCTTGCCTACTCTGCCCCTTACTATCTAGTGAAAATAATAAGGGGTCGGGCAACTCCACATCTAGGATTTCCTCCAACACTGGCAGACTAGTTCCAGATCCTTCCTTGTTTTTTCCTTTATCCTTTTTTTCCTCAAGAAAAGGAAACAGGGGAATAACTAGTTCTTTCTCAGGACTAGCTCCTTTCATCACTTCCCTGGCATAACCATTTTTTGGAGTAGAGAACTCCAGATTTAATCTTCTTTGCAGACTCCCTGTTAAAGAACAGAGTCTGCTTACTTCTGCTCTAGTTTCCAGAGTGATTTTCTCCATACTTTTCAACACTTGTATCATGGTGGCTTTCAAATCTTCATTGGTCACCTTTCCCCCTGACTTCTCAGATGAAGTCGGGCTTCCGAGAATATTTGGCCCTTGTAGGGAAGGAAAATCCTCTGGATGATTTGTCATGTTTGACCTTGGTAGACACTGGGGTGGCCCGTATTCTATGTTCCACCTAAAGGTTTTCTCCTTCCATCTTCTTCTTGGCATACAAGACTATGAATGTCCCACCGAGCTTGCCAAAACTATGTTCGCCCCCTAAATTCGCCATGGGCATCGCAGACATGCCAGGAATTTACTCGAACAGGGAACTAGCGGGTTGCGAGCGTGCCACTATTAGATGCCGTTAGTAGATGGGATTTGAATGATGGAGATTGAGCCTGAGTTTGACTTCTAACCAAGAGATTATGCCATTGAGTGGGAATGGCTCAAATCAAGGTTCTTTCTTTGCCTTAAAGATAAGGACCTTACTTATATAAAGAAATGTAACAACATGTAAATGGCAGGGTTTCTGGAAGTGCAACTGATAGAGGAAAATAAATGACTGGTATTGTAAATTGCTTGTGAACTAAATGACTAGAAATGAGTTGTACATAAACTACAAAGGATATCGATAATACCAGGTGAGTAGCAGAGCTAATAAACTAGACAAAAGATAGCTTTTCTAAGGAATCTATTGCTTAAAAGAATTGGGATCTGGGCAGATTACAGTTTTTGGATGCAAATCTGGCTTGAGAGCATAGTTTGTATGTTTGTTTGTTTGATTAGTTGAATATCCTTGTCTCTGAGGCCTCTTCTTCCTTTTATAGGCGAATTAGCCTAATTGCTGTGACGTTGCTTTTTCCCGAAAGCATTTGGAGGGTAGTGACTCATCATCTTTTACTTGTATTACCACTAAAAAGTGTTTTTTCGCTGATTGTGAGTTAGTCTCCATCACTTGACATTTAAATCATAGACACATGATCTATGCATTAATGGGGAGGCGCCAATTTGTCTTTGAGCCTAGTGCTAGGTTTCAGGCAAGTCTTCTTTTAATTGGCATCTCTAGGCTTCTTTATTCTTGCAGCCCAATGTTCAAATATTAACTCAAACATCTATTTTCAATTTCAGTGTCCATTTTCTGTATCATTGAATACCACGTAGTGTAGAATAAAATTCCAAAATATGATAGGACAAACTCCACAAATGATAACATTCCTCCGAACACACTGATCTCAAGTACAAAAAAATATCTTACGGTGCTGCTCTTTGGATGGCACTAATCGTGTTCCTACTCAAGCATTAGCGAATCAAAAGAGGAACAAGGCCGAAACGACCTTCTTCGTCAATGCTTACATACCTTAAAACATATTTTCTCCAATAAAAACATGGATTTTTCCTCACTAGTATAGCAGAACAACAAACCATTACCAACCTTATTTTCAAGTTCTCTAGTCTGCGCAAGTGCTACGGCAACTTTAGCACCAACAAGTGCATTGTTCTTCACTAGTCCAATGTCTAAATGTTGGTTACGTAACTGACTTGATAATGAAGAAAGCTGGAGTGTCATCATAAAATTAATTAGTAATATGAGAAGTAGTCCAACCTTATATAAGCACATATAAGGTCTCTCCTCTCATCAATGTGGGATTCATTCTCAACACGTCCCCTCATGTAACACATGGACAATACAACGCGGGTGACGTGGATCACATGTGGCCGTTTGACTTCACACGGGGACAACCTGCCCTAATACCATAAAGAAAGTTAGGATTCTACTATAAAACCAATTGGCAATACGAGAAGTAGCTCAACCTCTTATAAGCATATACAAGGTCCCTCCTCTCATCAATAGTGAGATTCATTCTCAACAAATAAATCAAACATATGAAAAAAATTACATAAAATTTCATGAGAATTTCATCTTAATATAGCCTCCTATATACCTTAGGCTTGAATGAGTCAACGCCATATGTAAGGAGTTAGAAGATGAATCCATCATTGTTGTGCAAAGAAGAATAGATAAAGGATACTCGAAGCCAGTGAAGCTTCTCCAGTCAGCTCCTTCACTCTCTTGAGTAAGAATGGAGTTGCATCATTTCCTATTGTGCTCTTATCCTTGAGAAGACAACTTCAATTAGCATATATAAAGATATAGCATTTCACTGAAGATTATTGTTGACTAGAACACGACGTTTTACCTAGCTTCTTCAAGGGCTTTCTGTATTGCAGACTCAATTAAACTTCCAGAAGCTGAGTGCTCTTTAGGAATTAGCACCGCAATCAAAATTCCACCTCCAAGCTCAAGTTTCAGATTTGCATGTGTGTGTGTGTATGTGTGTGTATAAGAAAGGCGTATTACTGTAAGTTTTACATATAATTTATAGGAAGAAAGATGAATTGACTTTGTAACTTGCCTATAAGTTGAGCAGTCTTGTGGAGTATCGACACGGCAAAGCAGGTATAACAGGCAAATGATCGAATAAAAGAAAGAACAAAAAATTGGTCCTTATGAACCTGTAACATAATTGGTGCAACCTGTAGAATTGTTAGAGAGTCGGGCCAAAAGTTACTTTCAACAAAATCGATATTGTTCTTAACTTATAATTATCAGAGAACCGGACCGAATACCCACTTTCAACAACACAGATATTGTCCCTAACTTTTCAACAACATCGATATTGTTCCTAACTTGGTAATTATCACTGCACAATCCCATGTGGGGTGTTTTATCACAAAATGCCGAAATATTAGTTAGAGTAGAGTTAAGATATTTACACTATTCTTTTTTTACAGATATGGCCAATGTAAAATATTTCTACGCAACCCTTTAAAGCTGTTTGCGCACACGTACTTTTTTCTTTCCATGTGTTATCACGCCAAAAGTTTTCTATATTTGACACTTTGTCCGTCCAAAAGACAAATTTCTTTGATTTTGGCCCAGTTTAACAAAACAAATGCAAAATGATGATTCCATTAGTTCTAACAGTAGCCCATTTTTCTATAAGTTGAGGATTGAATCTATCGTCAGCCCCACCCTCCCATGCCAACTGTGATAAGGTTCGTGCAGTTTGACCATTTTGATCGCATTGATAGAGAGGCTGATGCCCATTTTAATCAAGGACAATTTTTCATCGTCCTACTAAGGAATATGGTTATGGAATCCGAATTCAGCCTGACTTTGACCCATATTTGAGTAACAGTGCTGTTTGAACTCATAAAACTAAGCACATAACTGACACTCTTTAATACAGAGGTCAAACACAGAATACGGAGCGTGATATCAAATTTGTGTGCTATTTTTTAATTAAAAGTTAAAAAAAAAAATTACAATGAGGATCCTTTAAAATTTGTGTGCTTAACAAAAAAAAAAAAAAAAAAAAAAAAAAAGACTATTGCTCAAGTCCTAGGATCCTTATGGAGGTTTCGTACCATCATCTTCAACATTCAAAGACTAGCTTGTCGATTTCTTTTCATCAATTTTCGTCATGTACTTCACGAGGCTAACTTCATTATTGATGTTCTTGTTTTGATTGTGTCACACTTTTGGTGATAATCAGCTTTGGATAGGAAGCTCTTTCTCGGCAAACGTGAGATTTCATTTATTATTTTGGACATCCAGTTATCCTAAGATCAAATCCAATAGTTGGGTTAAAACTCAAAACTTAAGTTTTAAAGTCGCCCAAAATTCTCCCAAAAAAGGGTTTTGGGTTAAAACTTTTTCTTGGGCCAAATTTACTCAAGAAAATGAGCCAAGGTTAGTGGCTGAGACCTAGTGCTACGACTCAGTTGCTGACGCTGTCGGTCACTTGCAGAAAGACTAATGACTATTTTCTTTATCGGAAGGCCCACGTGATTCAACTAAGGTCTAGATTCAATTTTTTCTAAATATATATTAATACATTTAATCCAACGATTGAAAACGAATATAAGCAAATCTAACGGTAAAAAAAAAAAAAATCTAAAAACAAAAAATTAAGTCCAACGGCTAAAACAATTAAAAAAATTATAAATCCAACGGCTTACCATAATAATGTAGTTTAACTTCACCTTTAACGAGAATAAAATCTAAGATCTCTCACTTATAAATGAAAAATACCACTTAATGGCAATTTCGTTTTCTTTTGAAAAAAACCAAAAAATAAAATAAGAATTTGTTTGCCAGTAAATGGAATGGATATTTGGGGGACATTTTGGTAAATCTGATAAGAAATACAACGACCACAAGTCATAAACTGCTGTTTCCATCTCCTCTTTCCCTCCTCTGCTTTCTTGCTCACATGGCCATGGCTTCCAGACTCTCACCTACTTCGATTCTTAATCTTCCAATCCCAGCTAGAAATCTCCCAAACCACCCTCACAGAATACCTCTTTTTTCTATTCCACCACCTCTGGTTCTCCATGCAAATTCCTCCTTCAATTTAACAACCATTTCGCGCTCTAAAGGACGATCATCGCCACCGGCACTTGGTGCTGTCCAAGAGGAAGTCGCCCAGTCCCCAAGTTCAGAGCGCACCGGAAATTCAGAAGCTTCCCCTTCTTCCTCTTCCAAGCTCGTTCTCGTCATTGGCGGCACCGGCGGCGTTGGTATTCCCCAAGTGGTCCTGCTTTGCTTTACTAGCTCTTCATCTGCTTACATATACCATCTTTTTTTTTTTTTTACTTTTCGAGTGATATTCTAATCTAATTTAAACTGTTGCAGGGGTGACACCCTCTTATTATTTATCTATTATTATTTAAGCGATATTTTAATCCAGAGTTAGACAGTATAGACATCTTTTAACACTATGTATGTAGTATATATGCGTATGTGTGTAAATGTATGTATGTATGTGTTTGTCAGTTTGTGTGTGTATTTATGTATGTATGTGTGTATATGTGTATGTATGTATGTGTGTGTGGATATTACTAGTACTTTTATTTTGTATGGAATTCTGTTTTTGGTTATTTGTAATTGATGTTGGTTTATGTGCGTTATGGAAACTGAGTCTTGTGATTGTGGAAATGCGATTGGTTTTGTAGTGATTAGTAAAGTAGGTGTGTATCTGTATCAAATAAGTACTCCCAAGATTTTTACTTCTTTTATGATTTTCTTGGCAACTTTGTAACCTTAATCTCATTCCAGGTCAGCTGGTGGTGGCTTCGTTGCTCGACCGGAATATCAAGTCCCGACTATTGTTGCGTGACCCCGAGAAAGCCACTACATTATTTGGTGAACACGATGAAGAAACATTGCAGGTACCAATTTCTGTGTAAGTAATTTATCTGGAGATTCCTATCAATCAATCACTCAAATGTTTTGCATATATTTCTGTTAAGTAATTTTTCTGGAGCCCTGTGATTTATATACTAAGACACGAGGTTGAGACTTAACTGAGCCAAACACTTGGATTAATTATAGTAGGTGGCATTTAACATGTGGATGAATTGTCTATGCTTTCCCAATTCCCTTCATAATTTCTTCCTCCAAATTATTTTTTGAGGATGAATGCACTGCATTTTCTTGCTTTAAATTTGTATCCTTCCACGAGGAGTAGGGGTATAAGTTCTAAATATTGGAAACTTGATAGGTATTCAAAGGGGACACTCGGAATCCAGAGGATCTGGATCCATCTATTTTTGAGGTTGGTGCTTTAAGTTCAGTTGCTTGTACCTTTCTTCCATTTACTGGATATAAATGTGTCTATGATTAATGATTCTGAAGTATTAGTTTTACAATGTCTTATGTTTTAGGGAGTCACCCATGTGATTTGCTGCTCGGGAACTACTGCCTTTCCTTCAAAGCGGTGGGAAGGCGATAATACACCAGAAAGAGTTGGTTAGAATTATCCATTTGAAACTTTTTCTTTACGAGTGAGCAAGAATCTCCATCATACAACTTGTTGCATTATTTATCTTCTATTCGGATGTAATAGATTGCTGAACAGCCTTGCATACCGAATAGATTCATAAATTTTGTGCCAACTTCATCTACATGCTTGCATGGGTAGTATGCTCACAACCGAATGTTCTTATTCATCTAGAACTATGCTTTCAGAGATTTTGACTTTTAACTTTTTGTTGAAGATTGGGAGGGTGTGAGAAATCTTATATCTGCACTGCCTTCATCGCTGAAGAGAATTGTTCTTGTATCATCAGTAGGTGTAACGAAGTCAAATGAACTGCCATGGAGGTAATACTAATTCACTCGGAACTACATTTAGGGATTTAAATGCATCAGATTTGTGTAGCGTTCGAAATTTCATAGTTTCATAATAAGATCCCAACAGGGAATTGATAATAGTTCATAGTATGGCTGGAACTCATGCATTGCATCTAATAAGCTGCGGCATAGAAACCATATGGGGCTTGTGAACCTTTCATTTGAGGCACAAATAAATTTACAGAGCTTTCCAGCAAGCTTATGTTTAAAAGATTGTGTGATGCAGCCAACTGTAGGTCTGACGGTAGTAGCTTGTGTCCTTGTTTTCTTGACATTCTTGTTCATTCCCTACGAACAATTTACAGCAATCAAAGTGCCAAAGTTCCTGTCCTACATCACATACAGGATGCATTTAAAGGAAGATATTTTTTCTCCTTTTACAAAATGAGACTCCTTGCAATTCAAGAATCTTCTTAAGCACTGTTTACTTGTACCAATAACAGCGTATTTTTGTGAATGGTTATCTGGTTTCGGAATCTCGGATTGGTTTCTTCTTCATAGAGCAGATGTGAGATTTATTGGCTATATAGTTCTTCGGGAGTAATGTAGCATTCTTGTACCTCTTCTTGTTATGGCTTTAAAAATTTTGAAGATGTGACATGAACTCCATTTGGAACTGACCATGTTCATACAATTGGTTCATGATGAACAGATGAAGTGAGTTTCACTTTTCTATCTTCTTCTCACATAGAATAATTGAATTACATTGTTTTGTAGCATTATGAACCTTTTTGGCGTTCTCAAATATAAAAAGATGGGGGAGGATATGCTTCGTAATTCTGGCCTACCATTTACAATAATCAGGTTTGTGTAAACTCGTTAATGTACTTGTCTTTTAATTCTGACTCTCTGAGAGACAATAGATCTTTCATAAAGCAGCTGTATATGGCAGACTTCAAGTTAGAGAAACGCGGCTGATTATTCTTTCAGTGGTTGCTTATATCGTTCTTGGTGCGTTTCAGACCTGGTAGATTGACAGATGGACCTTACACATCATATGATCTTAATACATTGCTCAAAGCTACAGCTGGCAAACGGCGTGCAGTCCTATTAGGTCAAGGTACTTCAATTGTACCGAGCATTGCATAGATGAATTAGAGGTTCAGTACATGAGGCTCAATTATGGGTCCTCTGGTCTTGTATAAAAAATTTAGCATCAATTGGCAGCACCGCAAAAAGCAGAAGAACACAAAACCATATTAAATAAGAGGTTACGAAAGCAGAATGTCAAGGGAATACTTTGCTTTAGGATGAGAGATAGGCGGAAGGGGAAGGGTTTAATATGGGAAACTGCTATTTAAAATGTTATAGTGGGGCTGATGGACCAATATGAAAAGTACTACATTGTTTTCTTATGTAATTATGTTGTTGTCAATGTATTCCCTTTCGGGGCTTTGATGCAGATGAGTTTTGACTTATAACTTATTTCATTGTGTGTTTACTCTGCTTCTGCATTACTTAGGGATGGGCATTATTTATACGTCAGAAACCTTGACATGAATACAGCTGCTGTGTCTATATTTGTTTGTTCCTGGCTTTTAGCAGCCTAATACAACTGATGCTGCCTTAGTAGATGCCTAGTCTGAGTCTGGAACATTGCTCAGTAGCTAGTAACTTATCCTGCATCAAGCCACACTTGAGCCAACCATGTGGGAAGGCTTAATTGTGTTGAGTTGAATATGGTGATTTAAATATCTCAAAATTAAATTTCTGCAAGACTCCAATATATTCCTGTCATACCTCACCAAGTCCTAAAGTTCAGGAAAGAATGATCGTCTGCGTACATGGTTTTTTTATTGAGTTCCTTCCTAGAATGTCTTTAATCGGTTCATATTTTTTTATGGGAACCAGGAGATAAGCTAGTTGGAGAGGTTAGCAGGCATGTCGTTGCTGAAGCTTGCATACAGGCGTTGGACATAGAATGTACCGAAGGACAAATTTTTGAAGTCAACTCGGTCGAGGTAATTTTCTAAAGATGATTGCAGAAGTTAGGAGGTCACCACATAGTAATGTATGTCTGGTCTCAATTTTAAGCATCCCTTGGCATTTGAACTCAAACTTCATGTCAGTCTTTAAGTATATCTGAAGATTTACTGCCCACAACTAAAGAGGAAATGCGCCTGAATTGAAAGGTCATGCGTTAATACTTAACCTAACTAATAGTGGAAGCCTGTAAATTGCTCTGTGATGCTTCTAAAGGAAACTTTAAGGTTTTGATAATCTACATTGCATGTTGAAAGGTGAATGGTGTCCTTGCTTAATTGTTTCTAGGGAAATTTGAACCTCTCTTATATAAGACCCAAAAAAGCTTTCGTAAACTCTTATTAGCTTCCACAGTTTGGCTGGTTGTGCGTGGTTCCTCAGCTTCATTCTTTTTGGCTTGTTGAAATTGATGTTGGCTTATCAGCAACCCATATGAACATGGAAGACCCAGTGGAATGTGAATTTTCCATCCTGATGGGGATGTTGCAGTTTCTAGGCCACCTATTTCCATGAGCTCGCCAGGATATACATCCTGAAAGTGTCCCTTCAAGTTTGGATGTCAGGAAAAGTGACACCTGAAGCCGAATAAGTAGCTGTTAGAATAAGGAATAGAACATAATGAGGCAACAAAATAAGTCTTTGGGAATGAACTTGAATTGAGGGAGATGACCGGAATCAGTTTCCGTTCTATTTTTTCCACTCGGTGTATAAGAGTACACTGCTTTTGACCCTTCAGGATTTGGAACACGCTGGATATTGCAGCCGTGTGTTATTAGAGATCTGTTGCATCTGTGATAGAAATATCAAGGATTCCAGTTAACCCTATCATGTTGTTATTCTTTGAGGAATTCCTTTCCAACGGAAAAATCTTGTACTGTGCAGGGAGAAGGCCCAGGAAGTGATCAGCAAAAGTGGCGGGAATTGTTCAAAGCTGCCCGAGCTCAATGACTATATTTTTGGATTTCATTTGGATCATTCATGTATATCGACGATACTGTTTGGAAACAACATATGTAAATGTCTGTATAGTGTAAATAACTACTGTGTAATACTTCGATTAAGATCTGTAAATTTTGTTCCCTTTCGTTTGCTTATCAGTCGCTCGTGCATCCTCTAGAAGTGATCTCATGTTCTAAACATCCACACTGAAACTAGAGAATCTTGGTTTATATGTGAGTTTCTAGGTACCATTTTCTTGCAATTCTTCTCCTTTAGTGGACAAACTATAGAATATTTATGTAAACTTTTACTCTGCATCTGCCACAACAAAACCACTCTAGCACACAACGGAACTAGCCACAACCAAGTATCGAACTCATCACAAAAATATATCATCCTTGCCATTGTGTCACTTGTGAAACGGCAATGCGACAAGATGTTCAACTCGAGATGAGTTAAAATTTTATTCATTAGGTGGCAAATTACATGATCTAGGGGCATAAACAAAACTCAACTGAGTAGCAGTTCCCAACTGAACTGCATAACAGTAACTCCATCTTACCATCGTCTATCTAGAAAAAGTTATATTACCATATACAAATCTGGATTCCGAAAGAACAAAAAGGAAGGGAAAGAATCCACAGAGGGAAGACGAACGGAACAGATACGAAGATAATAATGTTACAATCTAACTTTCAAAAGTCTCTGTTACTAATAAATTCTCCTTTTGTATCCCAGGGACGACTTTCAAAAGATTTTCCTATCATACTGCGACTCTGGTTTACAGTCCCATCCTCACAGCCGTACTCTGGAAAGTAATCGAGGAAAGTTTTGCTTCCTAGCTCATCAATTCCATTAAAGAGGAAGTTCACCAGCAAGTCCTACGGATTAGATTTTACGTAAGAAACTGCACTGCACTGCACTGATGTAAGAAAATCAAACTCATTCATGTCTAATAATACCTTAGCTTGTGTCTCCCCAATCAACTTTTTCAGTAGTGCGTGTCCGGGATCCTGTTTTCATATGTTACCTCAACAAAATAAGTCACATAAACAGATAATTGGGGATTAAAGTTAAACTCTAACTTTAGCCAACCAGATTAGGAGATCATTCAACCCGTATAATGCTCGGTTTCACTACTCAACTTTTGTCAATTTTTGGCATCACAGTCAACGACTAATTCTTCATAAATCGTTCTTAAACCTTTCCGAATGCCCGTTTTCCTCATGGCATGAAAATATAAATATTATGAAAGTGATCACATTGGCGGAAATGTTCATTTCATAATCTTCCAACATTTCCAGCGATAAATCTACCACACGCTCGGGAAATACCTGTGTTTCTTTTCTTCATTATCTTTGTGTTTCATACCTAAAACACTGATTTTTTAAGCGTTGAGAGTAAACCGAAGGGATGCACGATGACTTCACAAGAAAATCTATTCCAGAATCATATAATAAATCACAAAGAATTCATACAACAGATGCGGAATGTGTGTAACAAAAAACTTGGGAAAGATAATAAATCACCTTCTCTGCTCTCCATGTTAGATATCTATGTTGCGCTTCACGGTTACATATAATTTGGGAGGCATTTGTCTCCACTACTGCTTGGTCCATCAGCGCAAGCCATGCCTGCAGGAGCAAGAGGAAGTTGTCGTATATTACAATTTGGAATCCTACAGGTTAATTGTCCTACAATATGAACGTTTGATATCCAATTCCACTTGATGGCATTACGAAAATATCACAAATTTGGGGCCATAAAGTCCATCAAATCTATACCTTGTAATAATCCATGAATGCAGAATATAAAACATCATAATTTTTGGGGCTTGACGTAAATCTTGTCCATATCACAATTGGTGAAAAGAATTTAAGTGACTCGCTCGTAAGCTTTCCTCCCCAGGGTAAAAGCTGCATGAAATCTGAGTTCAGTTGCAATGCAATATCTCTTAAGAAGGATTGGAAATTACTATTGAATCGACATCCTACATTAGGTGCGCCAGTTCGAATCAATCCACATACCTCAGAATATTTAACACCAAGAGGTATTAGGCTTTTATAGTATTTGTCTCTGTAATGCCTTTGACTGATTACATCGTGCAACGGATTGAGGTCCCTATAAATGATTAATCACGGGTAAGCTCTTCAATATATATGAGCGATACCAAACCCGCAACAGCAAGAAAATTACAGTTCTGTTGCACTAAAACTAATAATTTGAGAGGATACAAAAGTGAGGTAAATGGTGGAGTTGTTAGATCACCACATCCAACATGAACTAAAAAAGACAAATAATTTAACGACATATCAAGCCAGAAAGTTGGACTTCTATAAATAACTGTGCTAAATATGGGCTGGTCAGATTACGAAGAGGTAACTCAAATCCAAAGCAATAAGAGATTGTGTATAAAATTCTAAAAGGATGGAAACTGGAAAAGCAAACGAATCATACAAGAAAAAGTAGGACGCCAATATATTTGTAATTTTGTTCTTGTAACTCACCCCTAGCTTTTCATAAAAGAAAAAATAAATGTATTTGTGTTTATGCTTAAGATTCGGAGTAATAATTGACAAAGGAACAACATTACATTGATAAATAAGAGCTTACAGCACAACTATGTTTATATTTGCACTGGTGAAGAAGTTGGCACAAAATATGGGCATATCAAATTCGGGTTCTGGGAAGACAGCAAAATCCAAAATCTGCATACAGTTTATGATACAACAGTTATTGGCATTGCAAAGGAAAATGTGAGTAGTTCTATAGATCATAACAGAATATACAATACATGCACTACTTCAAGGAAAAGTTATGCTGATTAAATTCCGCTACAACAGCAGTATATGGCTTCAGCTTTATTTATGGTTCACCTTCTAAATGCTAATTGCTAAATCAAATTGTGTGATATTATATTATTATTGTCCCTTCATAGCGTCAAGAGTGGGAAAAGATCTAACATGAAAAAATAAACTTAACCATGAAGCTAGTTGGGAAGCAAATTACTGTAGATATAAAACCGATCAAGCCTTTTGTCAAGAAAATTAATATTCGTGGGGCTACAGCACATTTCGCACAGGACATGTAATCATCTCTATTTATGTAGACAATTCCGAAAAACATAAATCATCCTACAGTTCATTTTCCAACTGGTCTGTAACAAATTTCGTCCATCAATTTCACACGCTACCTCAAATGAACTACCTCTATTTGAATATGCTGGTGAAATACTTTTTTGAAATATAGCAAACTGCAGAAAATTCATTAGCTGACTTATTGCACCAGGATTATAGCAATGATAAATCAAACTGAAACTAACATATTGAATAAAATGGAGCCTTGTGAGCATCATAGAGTAAATAAAAAGACATGTTAAAGCATGATACCTGCATTGTTTGGCTCTCAATGCATAAGCTTCGTAGATGTCTGATTTTAGTAGCTTCGAATGATAACATTTGAATATCTGCTTTACCATCCATTGAAATCCTGGAATTATATCTTTCCTGAAGACGTACAAAGGAATGTTAAATATTATGAGAGGTGGTTATATTGTGACGTATTGATAATTTGATACTATCAAAGCAGCAAAAGAGTACTCACAAATGAAAAAAAAAAAAAAAAAATTGTTCAAGAAATGGCCAATGTGGAAGTTGCAAAAGTTCATTATCTTCTAGCAAAACACTTTAGTTAGAGACTATATGAATTTAATACTTATTAAACGGAATTGAATATGAAGGATATACTGCTGGCAAACATGATACGATCCTTGCTAAATTGCAATCAATCAGTTAACATCTCACAGTTCTGACGATTCAATTTCATTTTTTGTACAGAATTTGGGCAGTCGAATACAACAGTGCTTTCAGCTAACTCTACTGAAACCATACCGAATTGATGTCCTTTCATTGAGTCCTCCTAAATTGCATTGGTTTATCCTAAAGATTTCATTTCAATTGGAATTTAGTTATTCACCATGTACAAGGATCCCCGCTAAGCATCCATGGCTGAATGGTTACAGCGCCCAACTCATAATCAGCGAATTCATAGGTTCAATTCCTACTGGATGCATGCCAATGGGACCGCATGCCAAAGCAGAACAATTCTTTTTTTGTAATGTGAAAAAGATTGTTTTCAAAGAAACTACAAAACCAGTCGATCAATTCACAGATAGATTTCTATCCGGTATCTCCGTGGGTAGAAACAAAGATAGGGATCCAAGCAACGGCTTGGTGATTTTTGGAAATGTTTTGAGAAAAAAAAATGTATCAAACCACACATTTTGAATGAGCCACATGGTGCGAATATAGGACTTGATGACCTGACCACCTACCCAAGCACTCTGGACAATGCCTGAGCACCTTGGTCGAAGACAAATCAGATCTCTATCTTGAGTTGAGCACTCACAATGCTCAGTTTCCAGTCCTAAGTACTAGCCCAACCCTAGTGCTCAGGATAGCACTGGCTTGGTGATTGGGGATCCCAAGTCCCTACTGGCCCTGACACCTCGGGGGAGAAGCATCACAAAGGTGATTTGACACTCAAATGAAGTATGGAGAACATGTTCCTAACCACACACAAATTGAAAGTCAATAGACACTTTATATTCCAACACCAAGTAATCCTTTTCTCCCATGTAAAAAAAATTCCAGTTAAATCGAGCACTTATACTGGTGATATATAATCTATGATAATGGTTATAAAGAAAGACTTGGCACTTCACACGATTGGGAACAAAGCTCCACCTAACTTACTGTAAGTTCCCTAGGGGCCAATTAAGGGAGGCCGAATCGAGAAACATATGGAGGCCAAAGCTGCTCAAATATGCTCAGTTGCGACCTACGTTGAGCAAAAGTCCGAAGCGCTTTTCATATGTTAGATTCCTCATATGTGCATTTACTGATCTTCGTACCATAATTTTCCTATTCCCTGCTTCTTTCTAACTGATGAAGTTCTCATTCAATAGGAACATCCATGTAGTAATGTGATTATTTAACCACAAATGCACAAAACCATTTATGCTAACACACATTTAAAATTGCAGCAATTAAAAAAAGGAAGACAGCAACTAATTCCCAAACTAATCCACCCAAAAGAAAAAAGCCATTTATAAAGCTCCAAAAATGGCACTCCACCATCGAACCTCTTTGTTTTATTTTCAAGAAACAGGTGTGCAGCAAACCAGCATTCAATAACTTTGAAAGATAATAGAAAATATTTCTTCATCCAAGAATTGCAATGCCAAAGGCACAAAACTTCAAATCACACCAGATCTAAGATGTATGCTGAAAGGCAACAGAATGCATACAGGTGTGTGTGTGTGTGTGTGTGTGTGTGTGTGTGTGTGTGTGTGTGTGTGTGTATTTATAAATGTATAAATACATATATACCTGCAAGGGAGAAGGTTCCAGATGGGTGTGGAGTTTGGTTTCCTCCAAAGCAAAGTGAATGAATTTCTTGTAAGAAACTGCAGAGAGTTGTTGGGAAATGAGTCTCTGCTGCTTCCTCCTCCTGCTGCTGCTGCTGCTGCAAATACTAGAGAACAATACAGTGCTGATTGATGGCAAAGGTTTATTGGGTATGCAAAACCTTAGAGAAGAAGAACACTCCATTGAAGAGAGAGAGAGAGAGAGAGAGAGAGAGAGAGAGAGAAACTTGCACTGAGGCAATCAACCACCAACAGCAACCATAAAAATTCAATAAACCCCTCTCTGATGGGGTTTAGGATTTTTCCTTTATTTTTTTTTTTTTTTTTATATTTTCTGGTGTTGCCAAAGATGGTAAGATTGCTCCTCTGTCAGTGTGTTGGGTTCAACTCTATCCGGTAATACAGAAGTGGCAGTGAGCAGAAATCTACATGGACCCCACCTCGTATGCTTCATTCGGACAGTAGGACACTGCTTGTCTTAGAAATTTTCTCGAAATATTTTACTGTACCAACGTTAAAATCAAAATCATCATTCTTGTTATCGTTATTTAAATATAAATATTATTTTCTTTCAAAAAAAAAATTTATATATATATATAAATATTATTTTTTATATTCATTTAATTTAGGCCAAATTTTTTTTCGACACAACACTTTCAATGTGACCCTTGTGGTGAAAAAGTTGTTAATTAAACCCTCGTAGTGAGTCTTGTTAGCAATTAAGGTCCAATCCAAACTTCCGTTAGTCTTCCGTTAACTAAATTCATGTGGGTTAAATTTGTCATTTCAATTCAAATTACATTGTATGTGATGGACATTTAGTATGACTTAGAGTTTAACTGAAATTAGATTTTACCAAAAAAAAAAAAAAAAAAAAACACTTAAACGCAGTGAAACTAAACCTATTAAACCATGTCAATGGTTAGGAGAAGAGATGAATGTAAAATCGCACCTAATTTCTTAGGTATGATTTCATTTGGAAATCTTGATACTTTTAATAAACTATTGTTTTCTTTTTCAATGCCAACACGTCATTGATCTTGAGTTATAAACTTAGTCTTATTTGAATTTTAATTCTTCAATCAATTTGTACCAATCTGCATATATGCCTTTCAATTGTGTCTTTAATTGGTAGTGTAGTTTGATGCATGTCGTAGTCTTTCAATACACAACCTTTCAATGCACCTTGGAGACCTCCTGAAATGACATCTGCAATATAATCAAATGCTAAAATTCCTTGGAGACCTTTTGGAATGGCCCCAATGCACAACATGCAAAGTCAACAAATGAAAAAGCACAATACCTTACAAAAAAAAATTGATGAAGCGAAGGGAATTGATTTTGTTTTGTGAAAAAACTAGATTATTTGTTTATTTTGTGGAAAAAAAAAATTAATGACTTTTTGTTATGATGAACCACAATATATTGTGGAAGAAATACTTTTTTCTTTGTTATTATTTATTTATTTATTTATTTATTTTTGGGTTGGATATATGCTTTTGTCATTAGTGTGCAAAATACATTATGGTATGAGAAATGATGAAGTTATTTTTTCTTTCCTGAATGGTTAATGTAAATTATATCCCCTTTGTTTCAATTTGCTTTGTATACTAGAATCAGATGCCAACTCGCAAGAGAAACAAGTGTATGTCATAACTCGCTCAGAAAGAACACACATATACAGTATACCTAAGTCATGCTAGATGTCCATGGAATAGGATGTAATTTGGATTGAAATGATGAATTTGACTCATCCACGTGATAGTCACATGAGTTTATTTAACGGAACACTAACGAAAGTTTGGATTTGGACCTCAATTGCTAACAGGACTCACCACGGGGGTTTAATTAATAACTTTTTCAGCACAAGGTCACATTGAAAGTGTCGTATCACCACAGGGACCAAGAAAAAAAATTTGGCCTTGAATTTATAAATAATTTAGGATTTTATCTATCAAATAAATTAATAGTTATAGTAACAAATAACAATTTCACACTGAACAATTGGTGTGCTTGATTCATATAGATAATTAAGTGGTTCGAAGTAAATGTGTTCGTTTTAATAAGATCTTTAGATTATGATGAAAAACGAACAGTTCTGATTATGACTTTTATACAGTAAAATGTTGACACGTTGTTATATAAATAAGTTTGAAGCCAAACAATATATTTGATTATGAGAATTTTGTTAATCATACACGATGTATAATTTTACGGAGAGTGATTTATGAAATGTGTAAAGTAAATTATCAATTATTTTGTTAGGTGCAACAGTAGCGGTTTTTATTTTTTATTTTTATTTTTTTAACATACGATGTTATCTATATTAAAGGGAGAGTGGGGGTGGGCTAAGCCTCAATGGACTAACAATAATGTGGTTCAAATTTGCCTTTGGCGAGAATAAAACCTAAGACCTCTCACTTACAAGTAAAGAAAAATATCACTATACTCACTTACAAGTAAAGAAAAATATCACTATACCATAATACTAAGTGGAACGGTAGCGGTTTAATAAGAGCATTAAAAATGTACAAACCTGAAAGTTGGCATCTTGGATTATATTGGAAGGGTCCTCAAAACATAACAAACTCGAAAGCAAAAGACAATGCCAACTTAACCAATCTAATAACTACCATTTGGGCGATTTGTAGACGTGACAAGTATGTGGGAAGAGGATCATCTTCGGATCCACTTTGTGGGGATCCTAGGGATCCCTATATCCTAGCCATTCATCGTACGTATTGCAACCAGTTTTCATCAGATACTATTTGTTTTTAATTTTAAATAATAAAAAAAGTCAAATGATTTCTGACCTCACGATACATGATAAATGGTTAAGATGTAGGGATCCCTAGGATCCCCACAAAGTGGATCCGGATGGGATCCAATTCCAGTATGTGAACCAACAAAGGAACAAAGTCAAATCTTGATATTATCATTAATATTATTATTAAGGAAAGAGAGTTCAAAACTATTGCAATAATTTAGAAAAGGTGGATTTCGAACCCTGAACGCATTGGTGGAAACTTAACAACCTATCCATTAGGATATTGGGCTACATGCTTAATTGATCAATAATTATACATAAATTCATTTTATTGGCAAAGTTATTTGTGAAGAAAGTTAGGGCTCCACCATAAAACCAATTGGTAATATGGGGAATAGCCCACCTCTTATAAGCCCTTGTATGGTTTAGTCCCTCACCGATAGGAGACTTTGTCCTCACATTCTCACACGCCTCCTCATGTGTGGTAAATTTTCAAGCCCAACACGTGGACAACACAATTGGGTGATGTGGAGCACATGTCACTGTTTGGCTTCACACGTGGGTCAACTTACTTTGATACTATGAAGAAAGTTGAGGTTCCAAAATAAAATCAATTGACAGTATAGGGAGCAACAAAACCTCTTGTAAGGTTTTGCAAGGTTTTTTCCTTTCACCGATGTGGGACTCTTTTACCTTTACAAATGTATAATTGCCAAATGTGAATTTTAAAGAGTCCCATATCGATGAAAGTAGAAACCTTACAAGGGCTATAAGTAAGTTGGGCTACTCACCATATTGCCAATTGGTTTTATGGTGGAACCCCAACTCTCTTCATGGTATCAGAGTAGGTTGTCCCATGTGGAAAGCCCATCGGCTACACATGCTCTACGACACCCAATTTGTGTTGTCCACATGTTTGGCTTGAAAATTCACCACACGTGAGGTGGCATGGGAATATATGAATATAAATGAGCCCTACATCGGTGAAAGAAAAAACTTTGCAAGGGCTTCTAAGAGGTTGAGCTACTCCCCATTGTGCCAATTAGTTTTATGGTGGAACCTCAACTTTCTCCAATTTGAAGAAATAAAAAACAGAATTTAATGACATGGCTCGAAACGATATCTTTTCCGGCCTTCAAGGGGTCACCTAATATCACTTTTGTTCCTTGACGAATTTGCCACTAGTGTGATGACTTTAGTTTAGATTTCACATTGGACCTTCAAAAATTTCAAGAAGCCTTGTATTTATACTAGACAAAATGATCAAATAAACTATAGAATTTGTACAAGAAGTTCCAAAGATCAAATGCACAAATAATCTTGACAAACCCATTAAAAATGTACATTCAATTGGACATGATATGAATGAGTTGGTTCAAGCAAGACTTGGTGAGTGTCAGAGTGTGTGCCTTCATGTATATTCCTTTTATTATTTCTTTTCACCTGTTGATTGATCCGAGTTGTAAAATTTTAATTATTTTGTATTATTAACAATTAAGGACATTGTGATATAAAAGTAAAAACTACAAGTAGTATTATTCAATAAAACAACACTAATTTCAAATTCGATAAAATATTACTAATTATTAGATCAGCCATCATCACTGGGAAACAATACTACACATCAAGACTTAGATACTAGCTAGAGCCTAGAACTGTTGAACATCTATAGGGTTAAGAAACTTAAGTTTGAGAGGATGAGTTTTTGAAGTGGCATTTGGATCTGGTTTCCACATTTAATTCTCATAGAATCGAGAATGAAGTTTTCATAAATAGCAGACAATATGCTACGCTATTCCTTGAAAGAAGGTGCCCCTTTTAAGATAAGTAGGTGGGTTTTTGCTCTTCATTAAGTTCAATAAGTTTGATTGTCTTGCCAACTTTAGGACTTACTAGACTCGAACTGTGATGTCATATGAAATAGCATAAATCACAGCTTCATTCTCTGCGCCATTGCTTTGGATTGTTGAAAATTGAGATACTATTCCAATCCCAAAACCACAAACCTTCATTGTCACCTCCAGTGGATATTACTCTATCTGCATTAGCCGCCATAGCGTTAATAATGGTTTTCTGTTCGGAGAGCATATGGTGTGCATAAATTCTCCCCTCAATCGGAAGGTTGAATTTCTTTATCATGTTAGTCGAAGCAAATGCAAAGCAATTCCCCTTATGTAATTTAGGATGTTGTGCCATTGCACACACTAATTTCTTATAACGCGTGAGAGTTGAAACGTTTTTTTCCATTTCTAAGGTCCTAGAGCTTTATGGTTGTGTCGTGAGAGTGATAACAACTTGTGGATTTGTTGGCCTCGCAAGAAAGGAGCAAATTGTACCTTCATGGCCGAACAATACATGAACTTGCACATGCTTAAGAAAAATATCCTAAACCCGACATACACTATCACGTCCTCTGGTATGTAAATAGTCAAGAGTGGGATGAAGAGTCATGCTATAAACACCACTTAGATGACTGTGCTACGAACAAATAACCTTGTTCTGTTCAAAGTCCCAACAATTAACTTGACCTTCATCGCCAATGGAGGACAAATAAGGATGCATGGTGCTAACGGCAATGCCTCTTATCTGCTCAATATGTCTCGTAAATGAAAGTTGTAGAC